CAAGATGCGGCTACCTCTCATCGCTTGTGCCCTCGTCGTGGGTGTTGTCAGCGCTGCAGAGTATGGTTGGAAGTCCGGTCAACAATACCAGTACCAACTTAGAAGTAGGACTCTGTCCGGTATCCACCAGGCAGCTGACCAGTACGCAGGAGTCGTCCTGTCGGCTCAGGTCACTGCCACAGCTCTCGCTGATGACCATCTGCATTTCCAGATCTCGGGTGCCAAATACGCAGACCTTCATCAAGAATTGAGCGGCGGTGTAGAGGGTGGAGTACCTTACGAACAGCTCAGCTGGAAAGATTTACCTCTCCAGGCCCCCGCATTCCAGCTTCATCTTCAAAATGGAGTGGTCAAGAAATTGGTCGCCACCAAAAATATTCCTTCCTGGGAGCTGAATTTGTATAAAGGTATCGCCAGTCAGGTGCAAATCGACACACAGGGTGTGAACCTTAAGAAATCTCCGATGAACCAAATGCCTGAGAATGAACAGCCCTTTGGCAACTATAAAACTATGGAGGACTCTATCAATGGAGTTTACGAGACACTCTACGACATTTCACCCCTTCCAGAATACGTCATCCAAAGCAGACCAGAATTGGCCCCTCTCCCCCATCTGAAGGGCAACGGACAGCTCATAGACATTGGGAAGACAAGAAACTTTTCCAGCAGCCAACAGCACCTTGTCTACCGTTTTGGAGCCAATGGCTATGAAAATTTTGTTCCAGGGTCAAACCAAATGGGGAATTTTCTATCAAGATCATCTGTAAGTCGAGTGATTCTTTCTGGACAACTTGACAGGTACACCATCCAGTCTTCGGTAACAACAGAAAAAGTCGTTGCTGCACCTCACTTCCAAAGAGGACAGAAAGGAATCGTGTACAGTAACATGAATCTCACTCTTCAAGCTGTCAAGTCTTCACAGGGAACTCCAGAAAGCATTCAAAGTCCAAGAGAAATCGAAAACTTAGTCTACGAACCTCAGAACGGACAGGATGACTTCTGGCAACCAAGGGAATCAAATGAAAGTTCTTCAGAAGAAAGTAGCAGCTCATCTTCAGAGGAAATGGGAAAAATTGAGGAAACAATAAGCAAAAGCGCCAAGGTGAAAAGATCAATAGCAAAGAATAAACTTGAAAAGGAACTTGTCGGTAAGAACCAAGATGATTCGTCTAGTTCCTCTTCATCGGAGGGTTCCTCAATGGATGCCAGTGACGAATACTTACCAAGAAAACCTCGCCTTGACGAAGCAATCAACATTGAGCTGAATCCTGGCTTTCTGGGAGGCTGGGGATCTGAACAAGTAAACTACCTCGAACTTATTAACAGACTTTCTCACGAAGTCGGGCGATGGATTCAGAAGGCTGATCGCCTTAACCAGCAAAATATCCTAGATAGATTCGCTCTTTTGACTCAGGCAGTGGCTTCTGTTGATAGTCAGCAGCTCCAACAAGCGTCGCAGAAACTCTACTATCAAGGAGAAAGTGCTCCACAATTCGGTAATGAGGAAGAATCTGAAAAATACCAAAGCTGGGTCGCTTTCCGTGACGCTGTTTCGCAGGCTGGTACTGGACCTGCCCTTCTTACCATACAGCAATGGATCAACTCAAACCAGGTTCAAGGAGAAGAAGCTGCAAATATATTAGCCGCTTTGCCAAACTCTGCTCGCTATCCCACTAATGAATACATGAATGCATTTTTCGAGCTGATCAAAACACCGAACGCCCAGAAACAAAGGTTTCTAAACACCAGTGCAATAATTTCATTCAGTGAATTGGCCAGGAGAGCTTCTCCTGGACAGTCGAGTCGCACTTATCGCCGATACCCTGTTCACTTGTTCAACAAAGAGAACGTCCAGGAGCGCACTCAAGCTATTCAAGAACAATACATCCCCTGGTTCCAAGAACAGCTTCAGCAGGCAGTGGCACAGGGTGATTCAACTAGAATCCAGCTCTTCGTTCGGGCCCTTGGCAACTTGGGTCACCCCAGGATTTTGGCAGTGTTTGAGCCCTACCTCGAGGGTCAGCAAAAGGTCTCTGACTTCCAGCGACTCGCCATGGTGGTTGCTCTCGACCAGCTCACTTGGACCCATCCAAAACTAGCTCGCAACGTTCTCTACAGGATTTACCAGAACACAGCTGAAGCACCCGAGATCCGTGTGGCAGCAGTCTTACATATCATGAAAACCAACCCCCCAGCACAGATGCTTCAACGCATGGCGGAATTCACCAACTACGATCACAGCTACCAAGTCAGCGCCGCCGTCAAGTCTGCAATAGAAACTGCCTCCGACAGTACAGACGCTTCCGTTTCTTGGAGCTCAGAATTGCAAGCGAACGCGCGTGCAGCAGCCAACCTCCTTACACCGAAAGACTTTGGAATCCGCTACTCCACGAACCTGATTCAGTCATTCTTAAGCGAGCAACAGAACACAGAATTCCAGGGAGAGTACTCTTTCATCCAAGGACAAGACGGAGCTTATCCCCAGGCTGTTTTCGCCAATCTCTACCGAAGTGTCGCTGGATACGATCGTGATCCCTATTCCATTTCCTTCCTGAGTTCGAGCAGCAGAAATCTTTACCAGCTTGTGGCCAACTTCTTCCAAGGAAATGAAAACTCCAAGAAAATGCAGGAGGGCAGTGAACATGGCTCCCAATATTCGTACAACAAAATTTTTAACATGCTCAACGTCCAGAGAGAAGAGCAAGAGCAAGTCGAAGGACAAATTTATTTATCCATCTTTGGGGCAAATCGTTTTTTCTCTTTTGACAACCAAACATTCCAGCAAACCCAGCGTTATTTCAATAAGCTTCAGAACAATCTCAAACAAGGAATTAACTTTCAACACACCCGATTTTTGAACAAGTACTCAATGGAAGTCGGATTCCCAGTAGTTATGGGTGTGCCGTTCTTCTACTCAGTACAAGAGCCTGCCATGTACTCTGCAAGAGGACAGATTAAGGGGGAGCTGTCCAAAGACAGTCAACAAGAAGGTGTCCATATCCCCTTGAAATTCGCTTTGAACGGCCAAGCCGAGTTCACGTATGCCAGCCAATCGAGAGGAAAATTGGGATTCTACGCTCCATATAACAACCAGCAATATGTTGCTGGATACAACAGGCACAACCAGTTTTACCTTCCATTAGATGGTAAAATTGAACTGCACCAAGGACAAAACGGATTCCAGGCTGAATTAAAACCTTTCTCCCAAAAAGATGCCAAGCAGACATTGTTCCATAGAGGATCACAAGCCTACACTGTCTATCAAAATAACAAAGAAGTCCAGCCTTACCAAGAAGGACAAAACTACTCTCCACTCAAAATTTCTGCACAAAAATCTTACCAGAGAGATATAGAATGCAATCAAGCTGGCTATAATTTACATTTAGAAGGCAGCGGCGAAAGTAATTTCCTTAATATCGAAGGACTATATAACGCATGGAGGAAAAATGAACTCTTGTACTATCTTCTATTCCATGACTCCAACAATAACATCAACAACAACGAATTTTCTGCTTCTTACAGCCCAAGATCAGGTTCAGCTCAAGGAGTGAAGATCACGGCTAACTACATCTCAAATCAAGAAGGCCATCGCAATCCAGCAAAGATGATGAAGAAACATATGCCTCGCGCAGCTCCGAGCGGATCGAACTTGGCTCAACCGACTTCCTATGAGCAGAGACAAGACGAGCTCTATAATAACGTTCAACAAGGAATTCAAGATCCTGAAGTGCACATGATGGACCTCTTCATTGGCTGTGGAGAAAATCAGAATGAAAATGGTCATTCCTTCACAATCGCCCACGCCAGCAGTCCAGTTTCAGAGCAGGCACGAGTACTCGCTTACTACCACGGTTTGTCCAGAGACTCCGGGAACTCTAAGCCTTTCCAGGCAGCCTTACAATATAACTATCAACAGCCGAGATGGCCTGTATTCAACTTCCATGAAGCATTGAATGCCAACCCAGACACCAACGTTGACGGTAGAATTGATTTTGACAACGGTTCTGGTTCCCCAGCTCAAATACAATTTAATGGACAGTTGAAACGAGATGAGCAGAGGAAGGCTTGGCTTCAACAGCAACCCAATTCAAAGCTGTGTGAGAATCAAATGCAGGAAAATAACTTTATCCAAAGAGCTTGCAGAAATGCCACTGTTCAAGCAGGTTTTCTTAATAACTACAACTTCAACATCCAATACCAAAACGTCCCTAGAAATGTCCAAGAAGCTATTTACAACCTGTACAGTTTAATCAGACATTGGGCCTACCAGCATGTTTCAGAGGATATCAGCAGACAACCTAAAAATGAAGGACAGATGAATATCGATGTTCAGTTCGAGAACAACTTACAGCTGGTTAATTTGTCCATTGACGCGCCTTCTATGAGATCTCGCTTTGAAAACTTGAAGGTCAGCCGACCCGCAGCTCCTCTGGTTCTCTACCATCCAAGATACAGCACGTTGCAGCTCTATGGCTTGCAATATGCCAACGCTGAATGGAAAGCACCTGCAGTACTCGACTTCAGTCAAGCAAACACCTTCGACAACACCTCATATCCCATAGATCTTGGAAATTGTTACCACGTTTTTGCCATCTACGCACCTCCTCAGGACAACCAGGAAAGCCAGAGCCAGGGACAAAGCCTAATTGACCCTTCACAAAGATTCGCCGTCCTTGTCAGGGAAAATGGTCAGAGGCAAAAGGAAGTAAAATTAGTCCTCAATGAAGACAACATAGAATTGGCTCCATCAGGCTCGTCAGGACAACCATCAGTTCAGGCCAACGGTCAACCTCTGGAGTACTCGCAAAACCAGATCAATCGATGGTCCAATGGACAGAACAGGTTAGAGATCTACAAGCAACCGGACGGTGTTGTCGTGTTGTACGCACCTTACAACGGACTTCAGCTAAGTTACGACGGTAGCAGACTCAAGCTCTCTCTTTCCCAACGATATGGAGACGCGATTCGCGGCCTTGCTGGCACCTTTGATGGTGAGATGGCCGACGAATTTAGCTTGCCGAACAACAGGGTGATAGGTGAGCCGCTCTTGTTTGCAGCTAGCTATGCCCTTACCGAAGACCAGAGCTGCCAAGGTCCCGCTAAAGAGAGGCAGAAAGAGGCGCAGCAGGCACAGAGCTCAGAGAAGAGAGTTTCTCCGGGTGACGTCGTGAATGACATTGAATCTGGCAAGAAAGGAACCAAAGTGGACAAAGGCTCCTGTACACAGTACAGAGTAAAGATCCTTGCCGAAAGATCTAGGACATGCTTCTCCTTGCGCCCTCAAGTT